ACTCTTCTAGAATCCAGAAAACAAATTAAGGAGGAAGAGATTTCAGATAATAGAGAGAGATGAATAAGGGCAGCCAATATGAAGGGAAGGAGAATAAATCAAATATTTGTGGGCACATGCTGTTTGCCTAGGACTAGACAGAGCTCTGATGGACTGTAACACGGACCTATCCTCCAGGAGAAGAGCACATACGCAGGAAAGAAAAAAAAAGAGATGAAAGGATGAACAAATGGCTGTAGACTCAGATCTGATCAAGAGTGTTTTCTTGTGAAAGTGAAAGATAGCTGTAAAGGCTCTAAAGAACTTTTTGAAACTGTTATATCTACTGTGAAACATTCCAACCATTCTAGTGTTATTCTAAGTAAATGAATTTTTTTTTTTTTTTTTTTGCGGTACACGGGCCTCTCACTGTTGTGGCCTCTCCCGTTGTGGAGCACAGGCTCCGGATGCGCAGGCTCAGCGGCCATGGCTCACGGGCCCAGCCGCTCCGCGGCGTGTGGGATCTTCCCAGACCGGGGCACGAACCTGTGTCCCCTGCATCGGCAGGCGGACTCTCAACCACTGCGCCACCAGGGAAGCCCTAAGTAAATGAATTCTTAAAGCGGAGGAATCACCTGAATAGATCCATTTTCACCTATTATTGAGTCCTACTGTATTTATTAACACCTCAAAGTATTAGCTCATTCTGTGTGCCAACTACGTTGTACCCTATAGAAACGGGGAAACCCTGAGTGTCTACAACACCCCTAACTGTTCCTGGTCCCATTGCTCCACCATATCCACAGATACGTCTTTCTACTTCCTTTATTCCTCCTGCTCTTCTTCCCACTTTCTTTCTTCCTCTAGCACTTTCATCTGCCTGGTCCCCAGTCATGCCCTGAGAGCCATCAGAATGACTCAGGATTTCTTAAACCCATCACGACTGACATTTGGGGGGCTAGATAACTCTCTGTTGTAGGGGACTGTCCTGTGCATTGTGACATGTTTAGCAGCATCCCTGAGCTCTACTCAATAGATTCCAGTAGTACCATGTCCCCTAGTCATGACAAACAAAAATGTCCAAATTGCCCAATGTCCCATATGAGGGGCAAATCTCCCCCAGTTGACAATCACTAGAATGGTTGAATCTGCCTCTATTCCTTAGTAACTTTATGACTTGGAGTTTAGAAGGGACATAAAGAAGTCCAGGGAGGGAGCAGAGAAGGAATAATTTCATAGTAGGTGGCTTCAGGAAGCATCTTCATTAAATAGGTATGCAGAGTCCAATTTCCCTATGAATTCTAGTTTATTCGCCAGGCTCAAGAGTATCCCGAATCTGCAAGCACAGTGCATTTTGCTTGTCAAGTTATAACTTATCAGTTACGGGTTACATGAGATGCATTAGGATGGAGGGGCCTTAGTGGTTTGACCTCAGAGATGGCGCAGGCAGGAATATTCAGCAGGCTATAAATATCCAGCATATTCTTGTATAACCTATTATGCCTTGTTAGGTTAATACAAGGTGTCATTTTTGAGACCTAGTACTTTGTTGGCAATTCACTGTGAATTTGGGAAAGGAAGAATCCAAAGCAAAGAAATGCATAAATGGCTGGGAAATGCCATATGGCTCACTAATAAGGTGTCTTGGGCACTTGTACACCTTTCCAAATGCTGATTTTCTCTTGAGTTTCTTCTAGCCTTAGAAAACCGTCAGCTAAAATCCCAACTGCAAATTAGTGAGCCCACTGGAATTTCTCAAGTTTTTAAACTTACTGGTATTTATTCATTCCATCACAGTTGATTCTCAAGTATATTTAGCTCCATTGCATGCATAAGAAAGGTCATTAAAAAGCATTTAAGGCTTTTTGCCGTCCATGTTTCTTAGAGGTCTTTCTCCTAATCACCCTCTAACTCTCACTGACGCAGAGATGCTGATATTACCAGTTTCTGCGTTAGGAAACACAAGATCTAGTGCTAAATTTCCTGCCAGTTGGTTTTGTCACTTTCTACATAAAACTAATACACCTCCCCCATGTATTTTATACGTACCCTCGGGAAAATATAGAAATCAGTCTATGTCATCTCAGCTTCTCCACACCATCTGACACATTTCATTACTTCTTCCTTTTTTGAAACACATTTCAATTTTGGTTTTCATGATACCACCTTCTCCTGGATTTCCAGCTGCCCGTCTGTTTCCATGACCCTTTTGGACTGATTGTTCTCTTAAACTTGTGCTCTTCTTCACCACTCAGTAGACAGATATGACAATGGGCCCTTTTCTTTCTTTCTTTCTTTCTTTTTTTTTTTTGCTGTACGCGGGCCTCTCACTATTGTGGCCTCTCCTGTTGCAGAGCAACAGGCTCCGGATGCGCAGGCTCAGCGGTCATGGCTCACGGGCCCAGCCGCTCCGCGGCATGTGGGATCTTCCTGGATCGGGGCACGAACCCGTGTCCCCTGCATTGGCAGGCGGACTCTCAACCACTGCACCACCAGGGAAGCCCTGGGCCCTTTTCTTTATGCAAACTCTCCCTGAGTGAACTCCAGCCCCATAGTTTCAACTAAATACCATTCATTTGCTAATGACCCTCAGATTTCTATGTCGAGGCCTCAATTTTTTCAATAAGCTTTGAAAGTCATACATCCAATTTTCTACTCACCAAAACCTCTTGCATCTAATAGGCATATTAAAATTGCTATAGCCAAAAAAGAACTCTTTATTCACCATCCCTCCAGCTCATTCCTTGTCCTGTCTGCCCAAGATCCCAGCCAAATGGGAAAGTTTATATCCCCTCACTCCTTACCTCAACCAGCTCTCTGTCGCTCTGCTTAGGAAATTTCCTCACCACCCTCTCCCTACTCTCAGACCATGTTAATTCAAACACCGTCTCCCTCAGTTAAACGTCCTGCTTAATGTGCAGTTCTGGGGTGTCCCTAGACCTCTTGTTCCAACCTTCTCTTAATACCCAAAAGGCTCCTGCTTGTTCTAATTCTTCAAGGAGGGGTGTGGGGCGAAGTAACACTCCTGAAACTCATCTTTGATCGCTGCATTGGTTATCCTATGTGGTCAGTGCACAAACCTTTTGTGCACTGACCACATAGGATAAATGTCACTTTTGAAGTGACATTTATAATGCAGCAGTTTTGACACCAGGGTTTGACCTTACTGCAAATAAACAAAAAACAGAAAGATTTTGATACGGATAAGTACCATTAATCCTTCTGCATGTTTTTATTAACAAATAATCAATAAGATAAATATCCTTATCATATTCTAGAGTCTCAACCGTCCCCTGATATCTGTGGATATGTACAAACATGGCATAAAGAAAACATGGTAGAAAATATCCCTATATCAAAACTCTTAAGCCAAAATGACTACATTGAATAAGCCGGGATAATAAAGAAATGTATCAGTTTCATAAAACTAATCAGAATAAATGTTTTAGATACTTCGGTTCAACTGCGAAGGTTTAAAATGTCCATGTGTAAAAATTAAAAATTCTAAAAAAGAAGACCCTTAAAATCTTATAGCTACCAGTGCCAATCCTTAAAGGGTAGAAATCAGCTCTGACTTTAAAAATACTATACTTTAAAAAATAAAATGACACCTAGATAGTGGCTCCAGGTAAATATGCAAATAATGGATACAAGAAATGTTGTGCTCTATCTAAAAAATAAAGTAGAAATTTATCTTCTAATGGTTGGTAAAAAAAACAGTCTGAGAAGTAGACTTTATTTTCTCATTGTAAACACACCCTAAGTGAATTATCATCCTTTCTATTGCAGCCAGATGGAAGACAGGACTCTGGAATAGCGGGGTACTCTGAGCAATAAACATACGAACAAGAACACCAGGCCATTTTTGTCATCCAGCCTCAGGATAATCAGGCTGCTGTGACTGAGGGTACAGGCTATCGCCTGGCAGGGGAAGAAAGTCACCTAGAGGCTACAAGGCACAGAGGCTTTTTCTTTTAATAGTTGTTTTTTGCTGTTTTGGCAAAAGGATGCTTAACTAGGGGTTTCAGGTGTAGCGTAATAGACACCAAAACCCAAAGTGAGGTGCTGCCAGATTTAGACATTTTAAGTCCTTCCCCCACATGGAAGGAGGTAGAGAGGGTCTAGGAGAAGATTTATTTGGAGGGTGTCGTTAGCATGCTGTGACTCCCACACACCCCTCCTAGCCGGCAAGGGTACTGGGCTTCTCAGAGAGAAGGGCTTTTTATGGGACAACTCAGACAGCTTTGCATGCGCCTCTTACAGTTTGGGGTGATGCTGTGCATTGGTATCTAAATCATGCCTGGGAAATCTAATGGGAAGAGGATGGCTGGAGAGGCTTGTACCGCACAGTAAGGGTGGGAAAGTGGGGAAGAGACTGCACTCCCAAAGAGTGTTGGGGCGAAGGGTAACTGAGCGTTCTCCCAGGAACCAGATGTGGGTTATTAGAGAGAGGCAGTCTGGGTTTATTGGATCCTGTCCAAGAGACCAGGATGGGACAAACAGATCGCATTTTAGAAAGTTGGTTTCATGGTTGCAGAAGCAGGGAATTTACTTTCCTGGATGTGAATGAGAAACACACAGCCCCGGTTGCTACTGGCAGCCATCTTGGACCAGGAAAACATCTTGTGCAGAGGTGAAATGTGACAAAAAATGGAGAACAGAGCAGAAAAACCAACAGAACACAAAATCCACCCTGCATCTGAACTTTGTGCTGATGTGAACCAACAGACTCCCTGTCAAGCTAGTTTGAGTTTTCTAGTATTTGGCACTGAAAGCCCTTCATTTTATAATCTTTCCTAAATGATCTGGGAGAACAGCCACAGCCCAAGTTTGCACTAGACTAGGACTGTCCATTTTGCAGGAAAATGCAAAATAATCAGAGTGCCAACTTCATCTTGGTTCTTGGAGTGAACTCTATCCCTAGGGGAGGATGTGGACTCTAATCCAAATGAGACATTAATTGACAGATGGACTTCTTTTGGATGGAATGTAAGAAACAAGGAGAGTCAATTATATGTTACCTGGTAATGAACTCTCTGGGAGCCAGAAGAAACTGACTGTAGGTCCTAATGAGAAAATGGAAAAAAAATAACCCATACACCTTAAGATTAGTTTGAACAAACTGCCTCAACTCCATCAACTAAACGCCCAATTTTATAGTATTAAGCCCAGCTGGAAAGCATCTTACTCTCCCCAGTCCCCCAAGGTTAAACAAAGAAGATAATGCCAAAAATAATAAAAGCACACCCAGTTGGACTAAGAGAAGAAAGGTCATTTAGCTATTGAAACTTATAAATCCTAAATAGCGTTTAGAGGTAAGTGATATAATTTCAAGGATAGAGAAGACCAAAAGTAAAAGACAGGCGATTTTGTTGTAATAAATGGGGATCCTAGTTAACTTGCACCTGGACTTTTGGTTTGTGCAGTAAGCTACTTAAGCCCCCTTAGGCACTTAGGAAGCATTTATTTATCTAAGACCAAAAACATACTGTCATGATAATTGTGTTTATACTGACAAGTTGCTTGGCAAACACAGGATTTCATAGACTGAAAAGAAAAAATCACTGTCCAGCTCTGCATTATCACGAAGTGCAAATTAACAGGGTTGAAATTCATGAGGCTTTACTGGAAGATTCTGAGAGCCAGGCTCCCTTTATAAAGTTTTATAACTAAATTGTCATCACTGTCATGTCCTGCAGGCTTCCTTGTTAACGAGCATAGTGATTCTATTTACAGATGTCAGCAATCCTGGCTACCTGGGTACCTGCTTCCCACAGGCTTTATCAACTTACTCTCTGAGCCCAAGTTTAAAACTTTTCCTCTTTATTTGTGCTTGCTCTTTCCTTTTTTAAATTTTTTTTTTAAGAATCCTACTTTTAGTTGTTGAATATTGGTGTGATAAGCATAACAGTAAGTTAATTTTCAACAAAGTCAATTCATCAGTCATATATTTTGCTACTGTGGAATCTTAAGTTACCCAAGTGTTTAAAAAAAAAAAGCTTGGTATCAATTATGAGTCACTGTTTTTATTGCAGGGTTTTTTTTTGAGGGAAGTTCCACAATAAAAGACCAACATTATTTTGAAAATATGAGTTACTATATGTTCTAGGATTGATTTGGACCTGAGTCACATGTTAAAAAGTTCACAAATTTTTACACATTAAATTTATCTTTAGTAAAAATAGCCAAGTGAAGCCACAAGTATAAACTTTGTTGACTTTTCTTCTCTCACCCTTATTAGTATTCACAGTTTGGCAACTATCTCAAAATATTCTACATTCCCAGTTCCATCTCTATCCTTCACAACGCTGAAGAGAAAAATTAGTAATTTTTACATTCCTTTATGCCTCCTACCTGAGTTTATTTCCACCAAGAGAAACAGACTCTAATGTTCAAAGCTAAGTAGCTACAATTTGAAGGGATTTTAAACACTATATATCTTCTTTATTTGTGATATTTACTTATGTATAATGTGTTGTCTGGAAGAGAGTTGCTCATCTTGGGGTATTTATCAAAATCACACAACAGCTTTAAAAATATAAATGTCTAGACCACATCCCAGAAAAGTGATTCTAATGTGCATCTTTCACCAAGAAACAGAGACAAAGAAGTGGCTGTTTATGGTTTTTGCCATTTGTAGAACAAGACACTGAATACTCTCCCTTGAAATTTTGCAAAAACAACCCATGACCACTGCAGTGATGGATCTGGGTTCTCCTGGCTTTGCTGGTGCAGTTCAAGTTCATGGGAATGTCACATATGAGACCTCCTCCTTTCTCTTTCTCTATGGTAAGACCAGATTGAGAAAAAAAATAATAGATTATTCCTTTGTGTTCTGACACAAATTCTTTTGAAATATAGGTTCTTCTTTCCTGTAGAAGTTACATTTAAAAACAAATCTAGCTGTCTCTGACAGAAGTCTGTACTAGATGCAAAACATTAAGTAACGCCAAATCTGTTTTCCTTTATTATTTATCAGTGCCCTTTGAAATTCTGTATAGTTCAAAAAACACAGGTGAGCTGTCTGGCAAGACAAGGAGTCCCAGGCTATAGCTATGGATCACACTGGAGCAACGTGGTGCTGTACTTAACCTAATCAACCTTTCCCACTCCAACCACCCGAGGAGGAAAAACAGCAGTGGGGATGGGGAGGGAGAAGATGCGGTGTATGCTTAAGAGACGAGAAAGACAAGGCCACCATATTTCCACTTCCTCCCCAAGTGCATCATCTTAGAAGTAAATATAGATGGCTGGTAATTACTGACAAAAATGGAAAACTGAGCAGAATAAATTATTGGCTAAAGAAACTCACCTCCTGCAGGCGATCTATGTACATACGGCAAGTCTCCAAATCACAGTCTCCACGCACAACTAGAATACCCAGAGGGATGGCTAAGGGTGAAGGAAAGAGAAAAATCTAAAATAACATATTTGATTTTTCTATTTTGGTATAAATGCATTTTTTATGGTTAAAAAAGACCTCTCATAAATATAATTGGTTTTTTGGATATTTCACTATCTCCCGGCACCTCTTCTACGAGCTCAGTCTCTTTACTTATGCAGTTTTCATATTCTTTCCCTGCATGATCCATGTTGCCCCTTGCCACGTGGCCAGGCTTCATTTCATTTTGTCTTAGTGGCCCTGATAAGAGGTACAATGTCATGGAAACGGTAGACTGACAGGGCCAGAAGCTGTTCACAGCCAGCTGCTAATTTATGCCTGTATTTGCAAGAGCCAAAGTACCAGAGAGGAATTAAAAAATCATGATGCTGGACACTTACCCCTTTCCCTCTTAAATGCATGGGGCTTAATCTTTATGTCACTTTGCAACAGTTCCCTATTTAAGAGACTCAAGCTATTCAAGGCACTGTTGTTACCTGGTGGCCAATGCCAGAATGAAATAGGCAAGAAACATTAAAAAAAAAAAAAAAGCTTCTAGAAGGTTCATAGCTTAAAAATCCAACTGATTTTAAAGACGGTCAGTGTAAATGTGGTAGCAGCAGGGCTTCAGAAAACAATGAGGAGAAGCTGTTACATGCCTTAAATACCTTTTTTAGGTGGTGGTAAATGTCATACAATGGCTTTAGTGGATAGAAACTCCTGCTTCAGATATAACCACAAGATTCCTGAAAAACTGAAAACAGTCTCCTTCCCAAAACTTCAAACAAAAAATGTATGGTACATTTCTGATTTTAAAAATTCAGTTATACTATTAAACCTATGATTTAAAAAATATTTCAAAATCTTGAAGCAACCAACTAGAGATTAACAAGGAGATGACAGGACAGTTGTGTCCACTAAAGATTTTTTAAAATCTTTCACTCATTGAATTTTTAAAGCTTCATCATCAATAAATAGGTCTGAAAATGCAAAGTGCTAGGGCTTTAAAAATGAATTACACAGAGAATAAAATAGATTTAAATGCATGGGAAAATCCTGAGGAACTCACCAAGTTGTAGAAAAGACACACATATAAAAAATAATAAATGGAACATAGGCTATGGTAAATGTATGAACTTAGTCACTTGAAAGCTATAGGAGAGAGGAACTAAGTCTTGCCTGGAGGGTAGATTTGAGGCTCTCTGAAGGATATGGTCTCTTAGAGAAGCAATAGTTGTCTAGAGAAAAAGATACAGAGTTTGCTTCTCAACATTACCTCCTAGACTGGTTCCACTAGGGAGATCAATACCACTACCTCATACCTTTAGGTTCCCAAAGTGCTTCAAACATAAGCTGGAAGGCATCCATCATCTTGCAGAACTACATAAGCCTATGAATCAGTATGGTCTCTCTCACCGGAATAAGACTTATTTCCTTTTACAACCCCAATGTCTGGTAGGTATTCAATAAAAGTTTGTTTTTTTTTAAAAAAAAAAGGTGGGGAAGGGGGAGGAAGAAGACAGGCTTAGGGCCTGTTCAAGTGAGAAAGAGAAAGTGTGTCTTTAAGAGCTAAGTCTACTTTCCAGGATAGACAAAGAAGGGGGGTTTGGAGCAGGAGTAGAGAGTGTGCATTGGGTTGGCACTTGCCTTTGCCTATTCTTCCAGAAGCTAAGCAAGAGAACAGCAAGCAAAAGGGTGAGGAACCATGTAAGTATCACATGTTTGGGGGAATAATAATCTGGAAAAATAATTTTTCTCCTTTTTTGAATATATACAGAAATATCCAAGAAGTCTTCAGTATGGTAATCATGCATCTTTGAAAGGAATGAAAGGGAAATTCAATAAAGAGATCCCTAATAGTAGTGACTAAAGTGATCATCCTCAGCTAGACTATTAAATAGGTCCAAACAAGGTGACCTACTTAAGTAAGAGAAGAATAAGGATTTCTAATACTTGAGGAATGATGAGGAAAACCTAGAATTTTAGCCTAGAAAGTAAATCAAAGGTTGTGGAAATAGAATACAGCTATAATTATCATGAGAATCCATGTTAGGATCTTTCTCTTAATTTCAAATGTGCAAATGTAGAGAAATAAATTTTCATTAATACTTACCTATCTACTTAAATGAGGAGACACATTATATAGAAATGCAGGAATTTGGTCAACCCCTCTGACTATCAATGCTTGAAGTTAGTCTGGCCACAAATCCAATATACTTGGTAGCAGGTATTTTAAACTACAATTAGAGATTGGATATTCCAGACCTAAAATAATGAATGTCTAGGAGAAAGTTTTCAAAGATGTGTCATTCATTTCTACTAAGGGTATGAAGTCAGCAACTTTGCTTATTCCTCAAGAAGCTGATGAAGAGAAACGGTGTATTTGATTGATATTAGCTATTCAGTTGGGGTTAAAAAAAAAAAAAAAAAAGGCATCCTATACCACAGTTTCATAGCACGATTACTGACGACTGTTGTCCAATTTATCCTATGAAGGTACAGAAAGAATTTACAGTCATTCTCTCTTGGATTCAAATCCCAGTGCTGCTTTGGTCTTACAAATGACTCATGCTTGCTGTTTGGTCTTGCAACTTCCTCAATTCCTTTGATCCTTGGATTGAAGGCTATAGTAGTTAGAATAGGCATCGTCTAGGATTTTGTGAAGATTAAATACAGTACTATATTTAAAAATGAATAACCAGATCGTCAATGCTATCTTTCCCTCACTCCCTTTACTAACTTTTGAGCATCTTGAGCTAGAAAATGGTACATCCAATCATCTATCTTTCAATTTATCATACTACAAGGATTAGCTGGTAGTAGTTCCATAAGTTATATCCTGTTTACTTAAAGCTAACATCTACTCTTTCTTCGAGGGTAAAGATAACTGTAGTACAAAAATATTGTAATCTGACACCTCCATTTGAGACTTTACGTGGTGAAGAGAAACCAGAAACTTGTGGAAAATTACCACCTTCCTTTTACACTGCTGACAACCAACTGCCAAACCTGACTGAAGTTTCCTTCATCTTAATTGGGAGCAGGGAGACTACTTATCACCCAAGCATTAGCATTACTATTCCTGATCTTGATGATTCATCTGATTTTAGCCTTAGAGATTTTATTTGATCAGTCGATACTCAACCTATAGTACATAATGGAACTTTCATTGCAGGGGTCAAACGGAGTTTACAAGTTCTAACTAAGCAATCAAGAACAAGCTGGTTTCTAGATTAAGAAGGCAGATTTAACACACACTTACTTCTCCTGCACCAGAAATGCTACTAAATTACAGCACATGAATTTTAAAAAGACATAAACCAACAAAAAAAAGAGGAGAAACAGTGAGGAGAAAATGGTAATGAATAAAGCATATGGAAAATTGGCAACTGACTCAGAGCCCCTATAGAGTCTAATCCTAGACTATGGGTGGGGATGGATAAGAACTAATTTACACTTCAAAACCCTCGGAAGATGTGCAAACTGGCAACATCAGTTGCAGCTAAAATAAGAAGCACTGGATATTAAATCACTAGATTCCACCACCCACTCTTGGTAGGTGGAGTTACTTCACAGAAAATGGGGATTAACTGATCATCTACAGAATGCAGAGATCCCCAACTTTCTTCTCTCACTAGACTCTCCAAAAGCTGGCAGCCAGAACCCTACCTTCTTAGAAAGAGATCTGAAGACTCTTCTCTGGGGAATCCCCAGAGTTAAGAGAAAACATTCCATCCATGAAATATAAACAAGATTGTATTAAAAGATGAAGAACATGAAGAAGAAAAAGGAAAAGGAGCATCATTCAGAGAACAAACAAGTTCTTGAAATTTGATATAACAGAGTTTAATAGAAAGGTTAGAAGATGAAGTTGAGGAAATCTCCACAAAAGAAGAGCAAAAATAAAAAGAGGCAGAAAATAGGAGGGAAAAGGTAAGAACAATAGGACTGGTCCAGTGGTCCAACACTCCAATAACAGGAGTTCTAAAAACCAGAGAAAAATAGAGTGGAGTAATTATCAGAAACAAACAAAAAATCAAGACTATTTCTTAGAACTGAAGAACATCAGTTTCCTACTTGAAATGGCCCAACAAGTACAATAACAAAAGAACAATAGGAAGACATTTTATTAGTTTAAGAATATTGGGAACAAAGAGAAGAGTCTACAAATTTCCAAACAGGAAAATCTAGATGGCAAAGAAAGGATCAGGGATTAGACTGTTTTAAACTTCTCAAAGGCAACTGTACAGTCAGAGAACCAATGAAACAATGTGTTCAGAATTATAAGACTTTTACAAATAATCCAAACTATCAAATTAGTCCAAGGGTTGAATAAAGGACACACCCTCTACTAAAAAGTTACTGCAGAACATGCACCAACAAAAGTTGAGTTTGCAACAAGAATGAGGAATGCAGGGGATATAACAAATGGGGAATCCAACAAAGAAAAGATTTAAAAAAAAAAACCCTCTAAGGGGATTGGGCTAGAAGAGTCTAGGGTGACAGATATATTGGGGCACTCTGACTCAATAGGCAGAGATGTAGAGAGCTGTCAACATTGAGTCTCATCAACATTGGAGAGTTATTTTTCAACCAAAGGATAGAATGTCTAAGTGAGTCTGAACCAGTTTCTTACAATCATCCCCAGATGTGCTCTGCCTTAACCTGTTATTGAGAGAAAGAGTTAGGTCATGGTGAGGCAGAAAAATTCAAAGAAGTCCATCCCCTCCAACCATAGTTCCACTTGATAGCTAGAACCCACCTTAACACCCTGCCAAATGCTTTCCAGAATGCAGTCATGACCTTGCCCACTAAATTCTCATAGAATGGGCTCATAGGCACTCTCAGGGAAGCCAAAGCCAGAGAGTAATCCAGAGACTCTTTTCAGCTCTCTCGAAAGCCTTCAACTAAAAGTGAAAGCATCATCGCTTCCTTGCAGAGGGAGGTTTAGGACTGCTACTTGGTGTTTCAAAGCCACTCTATCTGAATTAGGGATGCATATATTGGTGAC